GACGAGAGCAGAGAAGAGGGGTTTGAAAGCCACCTTCCTAGACTGCACAAAAGCATACGATAAGGTAGACAGAGCAAAACTCTGGGAAATTCTAAGCGAATGCGGAATGTCTCACAACCTTATTTGCTTGCTTAAGCTCATCATCAGCAACAATAGTGCTGTCCTAATCACAGGATCGAAAAGATTAAGACGGGTTGAGCTAGTGCAGGGTCTGAGACAAGGGTGTGCCCTGTCACCCACCCTGTTCATGCTGTACATCTCAAGATTGGAGAGAAGGCTTGTAGAATCGGGCCGGGGAGTGAAGATTAGGACCTCGAAAAACATCTTCGAGAATAAAGAAAGTAGAGTGAGAGTAATCCCAGGGGTGCTATACGCAGATGATCTCCTTCTGCTAGCACACTCCTGGTCTGAAATGAAACAGTTGCTGCAGATCACCACAGAAGTGGGAAACGAGTTAAGACTGGTCTTTAACCCGAAAAAATCTGCTGTATTAGACTTTAACGAACCCGGCAGTGGGGTGAACCCGGAGCTCAGCATCCAGGGGCTTGTGATCCCCACAGCCAAATCATACAAGTATCTTGGCATCACGCTTTGCAACAACCGGAACTACCTAAGTGAGCAAGAGAAAGTGTGGAAAGAGAAATCCACGAAAGCGCTCAGACAAATGTACGCCAAGTCGCTATGGAAGTTCAACAGGTTTGAGGTGACTAAGATACGATGGAAAGCGACATGTGTGCCTGCGCTAACCTACTGCAACTCGGTCCTGACAGCATCTGCGGATACGCGCAAGAGGTTGGAAACATCGCAGAGGGAAGCAGGCAAATGGGCTCTAGGGCAACCCACCTTCAATATAGCCTATGAGTTTATTGAGGGAGAACTGGGATGGGCTTCCTATGAGAGCAGAGAAGCCAAAAGTAAAATTCTTTTCTTTGCTAGACTCGAGCGAATGCCGAGCTACCGGTGGCCAAAAGCCATCCTGGAGGCAATGAAGACATGCAACATCTTCAGTGAGGCGTACAAAAGAATGAAACACCTCAGCAGACTGTATGAGTGCGAGTTCGATGAACCGCAACATGTGGAATCTGAAGAACGTCACTGGAGAGCCTTCCGCAACGATGTGTGCGACCGCATCAGAACATTCACTGACAGGGAATGGAGGGAGAACATGGAAACCAAACCGAGCCTGAAAAGATACAGGCAACACAAAATGAACAGGGGCACAATCGATCATGTATATGACAACACAAGAGGGAGTACCCTCCTGGCAGGGGCCCGTGCCGGTTTCCTCAACACAAACCCCTTCAGAGCCAGGTTCGAAGAAATAGATGGAAAGTGTGAGCTGTGCGACTGCCACAACGAAACCCTGGGACATGTCATCATGGAGTGCGACGAAGAGAATAGCTCTGAGCCAGAGATCCGCAAAAGACTAGGCCTACACGAAGACTCAACACGAGAAACTGTAGAGCGAACAAAAAGAAGTCTAGAAAGATGGGAGCGGGAGACGAAGAGATATGTCCCCTGCAAACGTCGGATCAACCAACCTATAACCAGCTGAGAAGACTCGCCCCCGCGCATGGGGTCTCCTGGATACAATGTAAACCTTGTAACACCAGGGATGGTTGATAAATCAATCAATCAATCAATCGGTCTGTCGACAAGCATCCATGTTCCGTCCTTTTTGTGGGCCGCCATCTCAATCTCCATGGCCGCGCGCCACCCTTCTGCTTCCTCACAAGACATGGCCTCCTGAACCGTTGAGGGTTGAGGGAGCATCATCGTTCGAGGTGCTACTTTGACACGCTACACAAACGTAGTCTCTCTTCAAAATTGGTTCCTCTCATTGTCTCCTGGGATATATCTTTTCCACCTGGGCATCTCCATGTCCCGACTGATTGTTCCCTTCTGGAATCTCTTGAGCAGCAGCTGGCTTATCTGACGATCCTGAGACTGCGTCTTGCTTCGGCATTGAGCCCGCTATCTCACAGACATTTGACAATCCTTCATTGCCTTTATCATCTAGTCTAGTGTACCTCCACTCGCTCCCACGGACGAAGCCCTTGTGTACTCATCGAAGATGACGTCACGCTCCTTTTTCACCTGGGTTCTGTTGTTGAGCCGAATCAATCTGTACGCCTTCGATAGCGCGCAATATCCAACGAAGATAAATCTTTCTGATTTCGAGTCCCATTTCTTCCTCAATTCCTTCGGAATGTGCGCGTACGCTAAACAGCCGAATACTCTGAGGAAGCTTAGGTCAGGTTTCTTCCCGGTCCATACTCCTTCCGGACACAAATCCTTTAGGGCGGCACTGGGACTAACGTTCTTCAATTTGCAAGCAGTATTCACTGCTTCCGCCCAGAAACTCTGGTCAAGAGCAGCGTCTGCTAACATCGCTCTAGCCTTCTCGACTAGCGTCCTCTGAGCTCTCTCGGCAACCCCATTCCGCTCCGGATAGTAAGCGACTGTGGTTTCGTGGCGTACGCCGCGTTCTCTTAGAAAAGCCAGTATTCGATTATTCACATACTCAGTCCCATTGTCCGTCCTGAGCGTTTCCAGTCGTGACTCTGCTTCCTTCTCCGCATATCGTACGGAGTCGACTAGTTTTTCGTACGTTCCCGTTTTCGTTTTCATCAAGTATATCACGGTGAGACGTGGGAAATCATCGACGAACGTAATGAAGTATCGTTGACCACCGATGCTCTGTACGCTCATTGGACCACACAGATCGCTGTGTACCAGTTCTAGCCTTGAGCTAGTCTTTGTCAGTGAAACTGTAAATCTCTTCCTAGTCTGCTTCCCCTCAGCGCAAGATCCGCAAATCGGCAAACTACCAGGGATCCGTACATCGACACCCTTGGCCATTCCATTGGTCAATTTTCTCATGCCCTCCGAGCTGAGGCGACCGAGTCGTCTATGCCAAAATTCGTATTCTCTTCCGTGTGCCGAATATGCCCTTTGAGCCCCGACGCTTTCCTCGGTGATTCAGTGTCGCTACTTCCGCGTGGCAAGTTCTCTTGAGGCGACATCGAGCTAGTCCCCGGTGTCTCGGAGACCGACAATGATGAGCTATTCCCCGGTGTCTCGAAAACGGATGAGCAAGCCCCCGGCGTCTCGTGAACCCAAGCCTGCGATTCCGTGGTTTCCGAAACGTTCGGACCTGTAGAGGCCCCAGGTCGCTTGACAGCGCCCGAGTCCTTCTGGACAGCTCTCTTTCGCTCGCGGACTACGGAAATAACGAGATCCTCGGGGTACTCCTCGAGCCGATACAATCCACTCTTGGATAGGAGAGCCACTGCGCAGAGCTCATCGTTCTCGTTTCTTACTTCGCATCTTCGGTTGAGCTCCACTCTGAATCCTTTCCTCGTGAGTTGTTGTACTGAGATGAGATTCACCGTCAGGCGGGGTACAAACATAATGTCGCTCAACCTCGTGATCCGAGGAGTTTCAGTGACATGGCAAACGATCTCGACAGTTCCAGAACCTTCCGAGTCCAATATCTCATCATTCGCAGTGAGGACCTGCCGCTGTCCTCCATTCTCGCTCGAGGATACGAAAAGATGTCATTTTCCACTCGTATGACTGGTTGCTCCTGAGTCGATGAGCCATTCGTCTGGTCTCTCGGAACACTTGAGCACACGTTCTAACTGTTTTGGGTCTTCAGGGATCTCGGCTGCGATCCTCCCTTGCTCTCTAGCGTTATTTCTTCCGACCTGCATTCCCTGCATTCATCTCTCTCTACAGAACTTCTTCATGCGGCCCGGTTTTCCACATCGGTAGCAGTCGCCGAAGAACCCTCGCGTGTCGGACGAACCTCGATTGAATGTTACTGTTCTGTTGCGTGAATTCTCTCCTCCATAGGCGGCTCGATGAATGGGTCTTCTGTCAAACGTTCCGCTACCGGCTAGGGCAGTCTCTTTTTTCTGATTCGCCTGCCTGGCTGATTCGCTCAACAGTCTTTCCTTTACAAACTCGGTGGTCAAGTTCTCACAGGTAGAGAGACTTTGTATCAGAGAGGTGAAGTCCTCGGGAAGCTTCATGAGAATTAATCCTGCTAGAAGTCTATCCTTGATTTCGCTGATGATCGCTCGGAGGCTCTGTGTAGCATTGACCTTCTTGGTAATGCAGATTTCCATGTCCGGGCAGTCGTTATAGCGAATGCTGGTAAGTTCTTCAAGGAGTGCAACTTCACGGAATAGACCTCTCGGTTGATAAAGTTTTTCGAGGCGATGCCATATCTGCTTACCGGATACGGAGTCTCTCATGTTCGGGAACAATGTGGATTTAACTCCGGATACTACGGCACCACGTGCCCTCTTGTCTTTCCGTTCATCCTGTTTCGAACCATCAACGTATTCCCAGAGATCGCAATTTAACAGATGGACCTCTATCGCGAAGCTCCAAATCCATATAATTCGACGCACCCTCGAGTTTTCCGAACGATGACGGAACGTTCACGTTGAGTGAAGTAGACGATTCCGTTTTCTCCATGACTTCTGATGGACGGGGAGCAGACTGCTTTGGCGGCGATGGCATCGATTCTGACTGATGCGAGCTTCCCTCCGACCAAGATACAAGGACTGGCGGAGATTCAGCGACTCGCGAATGCTCAGCGGATGGCGACGATTCCGAAGCTCCTCTTACTCTCCTTGATCGAGTTCGTGGCGGCATCGATGCACTTCTGATTGATTCTAGTGTTCAGCTTCTGCTCCTCACGCACACCTTCAGATGAGTCTTTATGTCTCACTAGTTCACTTCCGGGTGGGTCCTGGGTCCATAACCTAATGGTTTATCATAGTATATAGGGGGGATATGTACACATCAACCTTTCGATTCAGGCGCGAGTTGGCTCAGCGGATCCAGAGGTTTCACGCTCCCATTTTTCGAGGAGGCGCTTCGTTGACTCCGCGGCATTGCGATTAAGCTCTGTGGTCAAACCCGGTTTGATTGCGAGTTCGTCTATCGTGAAATAACATTCATTGCAATTGAAGATTACGTGCTCGAGTGTTTCCGGATACGCGCCGCACTTATTGCATGTCGTTTCTGGGTCGGTGGAGAAGAGCGATCTGTGAACCCTGGTAGGTAGGGAGCCCGCTCTGGAAAGCGCCAGGAGGGCAGATCCTCTGCTGTTGTCGTAGATATGAACCGGTGATGTTCTCGAGTCTTTATAATGGCGATATACTCTGAGCATTGTTCTACCGGATATCCCAGCCACCCAGGCGTGGTCTTGCGTGGTCCTTATCCTTTCGTTGATCTTGCGATAATAGGGTCCAAGGAGGGCTCGGTTTCGCTCATCATGTTCGATCTGAAGTGTGTCACATCCGAACTTGAGCTTGAGTTCCTCCATTCTCGCGTAGGACCTTGTAAGCTGCCCTTTCAGGAGAATCATTTCCAACATCGCTTTGGGCCAGCGTGCTGCTGGCATGGATGCGATACGGGCGAAGTATTTGAGCTTGCTCTTGGCTTCTCTAGTTCAAACGAGGACCAGTTGAGTTCGGCTTCGAGAACTTCGTTGGCAACCTTCCACCCTGGTATGCCAAGCGCCCAACGTGCGGCATTACGTTGCGAAATCTCCATCGCGTCGCGCGTTGCCGCGGTCATCGATGTGACAGCGTTGGTGTAAGTGAGTTTGGGGACCACGACCGCTTTCCAGTAGGTCTTCGAAAGCTCAAATCTGTTAGAGCTCCACAGCAGTTGCGCTTGCAATCTGTGCAGTGTGTTTTTGGACGTCCTGGTCCACTCCTCCTCTTGTCTCTTGAGGTAGTTTGCACTATCACACAACAGAATGCCCAAGTATTTATATTCGTGCTCGTGTGGTATCACCTCCTGCTGTATTTCCAGCCCGGAGCAGTCACCCACAAGGTGACCTGAGAACACCACCATCGCACTCTTCTTCGGATTGAGCTGGAGTCTCATTTCGTTTCCGAAATCAGTCGTTATCCGAAGCAGCTTCTGCATGTCCGTACGATTCTTCGCTATTAGTACCATGTCATCGGCGAAGAGGAGTCCGGGCATACATGTACATTTTCTCTCTGCAGCGTTTCAGAAGTCGCCCCGCTTCCTGATCTGGAAGCCTAGACCACTGTTGAGGAGGCGCCTCTCTAGTTCAGAGATGTACAGGGAGAACAGTATGCTACTCAGCGGACAGCCCTGTTTAACTCCTTCGGAAGTGTATAGCCAGTTGGACTCGGCTTCATCATGGACAATCTTTACTTTGTTGTCCGTGTAGATGAGCTGAAGTAAGGAT